TCCATCACTCCTGTGTCTTGCACCCGGGCCCGAAAACTGCGACAGAGAAGGCACAGGAAACAAAAGATTAAGGATTATAAACAGGTAGTACGGATATCCAGGAAAAAAAAGTGCACCAAAAAGGTACCGTAAAAATGCACAATCCAGCAGAGCAGAGCCAATTCTCGTGCTCACAGCAAAATACTGCTTCACATGAAAATATATCACCTGCTGCGGATGGGCTCGTGATCCCCTTCTGATCACACCACCCACAGAGCCCTCTCCAAGATGTAGTTCTTATGCACAGGGCCAACCATATGAAACAATCTCACCTGCTTGCTTCGGATGGGCTCGTGATCATCCTCTGATTGCACCACACATAGAACCCTCTCCAATATGTAGCTATTATGCACAGGCCCGATGGTTCGACTGATGATAAGCTTGCTTCGGATGACAGGTCACAGGCATCTCACCTGCTTCGGATGGGCCCATGCTCATCCTCTGATCGCGCCATATGCAGTGCCCTCTGTGCAAGGCATGCTGTGTGTTCACAGCAAAAGAATTCTTCACACGAGAGAAGCCACACCTGTTTTGAATCGGCCCATGGTCATCCTCTGATCGCACCACATACAGCGCTCTTTCCAAAATGTAGCTCTTGTGCACAGGACCAATGGTGCGGCTGTCAATAGCTTCCTGGAAGGTGGCATGGGGAGAGATGGAGGTGGAGGAAGAAGAGATAAGGGTGCAATGAGGATCGGCTGTTGGCTTCTGCAAGGAGAGATATTTCATTCTACCTGCACAGGGCGAATGGTGCAACTGTCGACAGCTCTCTGAAAGGAGGGTTGAGAGAAGATGAAGCTGGAATGAGAATCAGAGATGAAACAATGATTTTTGGCACAGCCGTCTAGGTGAATAAGGATTGGGCTACATGGGCCATAGGCGCAGTTGTCGACATCTCAGTCAGTGGAAGACGAAGCGTGGAAGCAGTGAGAACACATGGACGAATGAAACAGTTTGATAGGAGGGGGGAAGGGTGTGAGGGTCAATAATACGGGACCTTTGGTGTAACAAGTGTGCACTGTATGCACATGGATGGGTGTGTGCAGGAGTGCATGCATGGCATGTGCATGCCAGTCTGCATGGCATACCCATGCCGTTTTGCATGCATCACTGCATGCATCACTGCATGCCTCACTGCGTGTCTCACTATAGGTCTAGTGCTAGCTTCTTCACTCATTGCCAATACACTTACGAACATACCTTTGCAGGAACAGCCAAGTTATCAGCAAGCAGCCAAAAATGATCCTTCTCTATCCGAAACGGCTCATCCGACGGCCGAGATGACACGATCTCATCTCCAGCAACGGCTGCGACTCGCCGAAAAGCAGCCTTAAGAGGGTTCTGTGATGTGTCGGCCTGGGAAGCTGAGGATGAGGAAGAAGACGAGAACGAGAAAGCTAAAGATGAGGAGGAGGACGAGGGAGAGGATGCGGGAGAGGAGGAGGGAGAGGAGGAGGAAGAGGAGGCATAAGCTGCACCGGTGGCAGCATCGGTTCTGCGAGTGACTGTACTGGTAGCAGCTTGTGTCTGGGCCAATTTCTTCCTTTTCATGAGCTTCTTGGGATTGTTGGTTTTGAAAGAAGCGGCGGTTACCAACTGGGAAACGTCCCCTGATTTTTTTTCTTCAGTGGCTGTTACTCCCATTGCCGTCCCGACGTTGGCCGTTGCATCAGGGGCCAAATTTGGATGGGCTGAATTGGTGGAAGAGACAATTTTTGCGGGATCATATCTCATGACAACGACGTCACCAACAGAAATCTCGCTGCACAGGCAGAGGCAGAGACAAACGCAGAGGCAGAGACAAACGCAGAGGCAGAGGCAGAGGCAGAGGCAAAGGCAGAGATAGGAGAGATGGTTGTAAGAAGGCATTGCTTGAATTGACAGAAGTGTGGAAGGAGAGCAGGGGAGAAGCCGCGCCGTTAGGAGACGTCTCAATCACAACAACAACTTCACCAACAGAGATGTCACTGCATGGTTAGAGGGAAAGGCAGACATGGGAGAGATTGTTGGGAGCAGGCATTGATTGTCCCAACATAGGCAATTCTCAGGAGTGACAGCAGTGGCAGATTCTCGGGAGTGACAGCAGTGGCAGATTCTCGGGAGTGACAGCAGTGGCAGATTCTCGGGAGTGACAGCAGTGGCAGATTCTCGGGAGTGACAGCAGTGGCAGATTCTCGGGAGTGACAGCAGTGGCAGATTCTCATGTGCGACAGCACTTGCCGCAACCTTCAAATCTGTTTGCTTGTTTTGTTTCTAAATAACTATGCAATTGCTGCATTGCAACCTTGTGACGATACTCACTGCAAGCCAGGGGGTAGCAGGTATCGGCTCAGCACCCACTCGCCCTCTGTCCCCTTTATAATCGGCTTCATGGATTCGTCTCCAGCCGAAGTCTGTCGGAGCGAGCTTAAGTAGTGTCCACGGCTCATCAGAATCTTAAGAACCCCTTTGGTGAGTTGGAAGAAGGAAGGCTGTGCTCTGTGCTTCTGTAAGTGATTCTGTAAGGGCGTGAGAGACGAGGGAGGGAGGGAGGGAGGGAGGGAGGGAGGGAGGGAGGGAGGGAGGGAGGGAGGGAGGGAGGGAGGGAGGGAGGGAGGGAAGGAGGGAGGGAGGGAGGGGCGCACGGAGGAATGGAGAGGAGGAGGGAATTGAACGATAACGAGCAACCTACACATCCAGTGTAGATGCTTTATGTGGTTGTGAATTCCCGCGGATGCTAAGTGCCTGTAAGTTCGTGAAACTGCATGCGTGCCATGCAGCACTCACCATCTCTGCGTGCCATGCAGCACTCACCATCTCTGCGTGCCATGCAGCACTCACCATCTCTGCGTGCCATGCAGCACTCACCATCTCTGCGTGCCATGCAGCACTCACCATTTCTGCGTGCCATGCAGCACTCACCATCTCTGCGTGCCATGCAGCACTCACCATCACTGCGTGCCATGCAGCACTCACCATCTCTGCGTGCCATGCAGCGCTCACCATGTAGACCCTAAGCGTCGAATTTTGATTTACTACTTTCGAATCATCCCTTTCGAATCAACCCTAAAATCAAAACTCGGTGGTGCACTGCGCCCTTTTCAAGCAGTTACCAGAGCCGAGGTGAGTTTTGAGTCGAGTCACTCAAAAGTCACCTCGTTACAACGGTACGGCACACAAATGCATCCATGACACGCAGCACTCACGTTTGAGGCGCCTAAAAAGTTGCAGCACTCACGATATAGACCACTCGGTGGTACGCCAGACTCTTTTCAAGCAGGTACCCAAGCCGTCTTCGCAGTCCCATACTGGCTGACCAATCCGAGCCCAAGAAGACCAAGCCTGGACTAAAACGGAAATTCTGGAAATCCGAAGTAAGTCCGAACCTGAAAATCCAACTCTGGGAACTCCGACCCTGTAAAGCCGAACCCTGAGGCTGTGAATGGAAATCTGAAAAAGAGATTCAGATTCTGAGACCTGGAAATTTGCGGCGCTGCTGGAGAAGATCTGATCTGGGACCGTGAAATTCCTGGGGCCGGGAGCTTCAATGGTTATACTCCCTGGTTGTGTTAGCGTGGAATTTACTACTTTCAAATCATCCCACTAGAGGACCCTCAGCTCAGCTCCGCAGCAGGTCATCAAGAAACGACTTTGTCTAGGTATGCCGGCCTTGCAACTGAACCAGGTAGATTTGTCCAACATATGCGAAACAAATTTAAGGATGTTCGCGTGGCCGACTGGCTAATGCGTGCGAACCGACGAAGCAAAATCATGCGCATTGGCAGAAAAAGAGAGGCTCGGAGGGTGATACACGAAGGCTACACCGTTCGGTCCGACGGAGGACGAGGAGAAAGGAGCGAGGGGACCTTAAGAGGATGAGCCAAGAGATGACGAGAACCGTCGCTTGCTTTGCACGCTTACTCACACGGAGCACGACCCGTACTCACAGAAGAGGCAAAGACAAGTTAGCGTGGAGAGTCTATTGTGAGGTACGGAGTGCATTCTCGAACCTACTCAAGCTGATGTTTCAACGTCCTATGTCGCCGAGAACAAATGGAAGGAATTTGAGAATCACAAGCGAACCTGGGGAGATTTGTTTGGCATGTCGTCGTTTCATCTTCTCTGGGATTTGGGGATTCATAAGCGAAAGAAAACCATCACGTGTTGAGGCAAGCTTCCGTTGCCGGGATTTGAACCCGGGTCTCTCGGGTGAGAGCCGAGTATCCTAACCGACTAGACTACAACGGATACCAATTTTGCGCTCAATAATACACTTTGCTTTCTTTCTACGCGATGACTTTCCCTGCTTTCTTCGCAAGCTTTGCTTTTTTTTGCTCACTCGGAGGCCACGCTTGCTTCGCAAGCTCTCCGCTGCACGCCCTGCGAAATAGCTATTTCGCAAGCAACCTACAAGCAAAACAGGTTGCCACCGCAAGCGCCTAATTCTACGTTTGCCCGCCTTCGGTGGACCTCGCTTTGCAAGCATATGCGACGTAGCCTCGTCGATTCTAGCGGGGCATGTTTTATTCATTACGCGCTTGCAGAGCATAAACTTGCTCGGGGATGTTTCGCTTGTTATAAGCAACCTAAATTTCTGCCTTGTTTGTGTCACTTTTCTAACGAAACTGAACCTAAAGAGGGCGAAGGCGCCCTATGGTGCGAAAGATGTAAAAATGATAACAGCTGTGCAACGTGTGGAACGTTTTGCGCCATGACGGATGAACTGTACGAATGTGATGGACTAACATGCTGATCTCGCCCTACTTGACCTCGTGCATTTGTAACTCGCACGATAATCCATGGCGGCAGCATTCGTTTGCATTGCACTCTCGCTGCTCAGCTGCACCATTCTAGAATCCCCGCAAGCTGAGATATTTTCTCCCGATAAACTCCCATCCGATGATGATATCCGCAATAATGACTTCTTTTCTGGGCCTCTGGTCGTACAGCGAGGGTGTGACTCTAACGAGTGGTTGCGAACCATGGCCGTGATCGTGACTCAAGTGAAGGACGGCCTCGATGACACGAGCATTCTCTGGTTCGTTTGTTGATATCCCCTTGAGTAGCGTCCCATTATAAGCAGATTCATTTTCATGAGCCGTTAGGCCCACATTTGGCCTTCACTGCTCCCTTCTGATCCTTTTAATTCCGATTTCGGCCACAATCTTTCAAATCCCCGTTATTCTCCTCTTCTTCGCTCCCTGGTCCGTTACCAGCAACGATGACTTCTGTTACCGGATTCCTGATCCCCTCTTGCGACTCAATAACGAGGATAAGGATGGTGGGGTGAAGGGAGAGTTTGAACGGAGGGCTGACGAGGATGAGGGTGCTGCTGACGTGGCCGATGGAGGATGGGAGGACGGCGCAGGGGGGGATGGAGAGGGTGGAGGGGAGGGAAGGCGCGTTGCAGGTGGAGAGGAGACAGTGCAGGGAGACGAGCCTACTGACGTGGACACACGCAGTGATGCCACGTGTCCTGAGCTTCTCCTTCTGCGGCATGGTGAGTCAGAGGCGTTGCTACGTGATGAAATGAATCCCCACCACAGCACTTGTGCCACGTCATGCCCTCCCTCCAGTTGGAGTAGTGTAACAACTCTTTCACCCTGCCAACACCCATCCCTCCCTCCCTCTCCACCTCTTCCCTGTCTTCCTCTCCATACACACTACTCATTCCATCCACTCCACTCAGAAGCAGCACAATCCTCCTCTCTCCACCCACTCCTTCTCTTTCTCCCACTCCAACTCCTTCTCCCCCTCTCTCCCCATCCCCATCCCCATCCCCATCCCAGGCACTCACCTCTTCCCCATCGGATCCGCTGTCTCTCCTGCCGCCTCTCCCCAGCACCCCCTCCTTCGCCCTCTGGAGCGCCCTTCCGCCTTGGCTCTCTGCCTGCACGCCGCTGCTCTCCCCGCACTCATTAATTTCCAACTCCTTTCTCTACCCCCCTCCCTCTCCCGGCCGCTCCCCATCCCCATCCCAGGCACACATCTCTTCCCCATGGGATTCCCATCCACGCTTGCAGCCTCTACCTACCAACCGCCCCACCTCCCGCCTCGCCCTCTGGAGAGCCCTTCCGCCTTGGCTCTCTGCCTGCACGCCGCGTCCCTTCCCTCGCTGCCCTTCTTCTCGCCCTTCATCGCGCCGCCTCCGCCACTGGAGAACGCAGAAGTGGCGATGCACCGCAGAGTGATGCAGGTGAGAGAGAGAGAGAGAGAGAGAGAGAGAGAGAGAGAGAGAGAGAGAGAGAGAGAGAGAGAGAGAGAGAGAGAGAGAGAGAGAGAGAGAGAGAGAAAATGCATCACAGCACACGGTCACAGCCTCTCTGTCTGTCCCCCCTCATCCTGTGCTGTTTGAATGCACACCCCTGCACGCCATGTCTCCCCCACCGCTGCCCTTCATCGCCCCGCCTATGGAGAAAGCAGAAGTGGCGATGCTCCGCAGAGTGAAGTGATGCAGGTGAGGGAGAGAGAAAGCCAACCAACCCCGCCCATCACCCGCCGCACCACCCGCCCCTGCCTCTGGAGTGAGTGCCCATTATCTTGGCGTCTGCCTGCCCTGCACGCTGTAGCTCTCCCCACGCTGCCCTTCTTCTTGCCCTTCATCGCCCCACCTCCTCTGGAGAATGCAAACGTGGTGTTGCAGGGCAGAAAGACGCAGGTGAGATGGGTGGATGCAGCACGGCACCTAGTTTCCCGCTCTCCTGGTGCTGGCATGTTGCCACCAGTCGAGATTGGTGGTGGCACCACACATGCGTTTGCTAATGGCAGAAGTTGGCAGAAGTACACTCCGCTGAGAAAGGCCAAGGGGGGTTGACGAATCATTTTTTGCTGCGAACCCTTACTGTTTGTGTGCTCCGTTGTTTCACCTGAACTCACCTGTTCAGGAGATTGCCAACCTGACGGCTCTCCTGGAAGGCGATCCAGGGAATGCTCACCTGCTGCTGGAACGAGGTGAGGCTCTCCTATCCTTGGGTGAACCTCGTTGGGCCCGCTGCTCGCTCTGCCTGCGTGCTTCGGTTTCCACTCCATACTGCTTATTTGGATTGGATGCAAGGTGACTTTTGAGTCGACTCAAAAGTCACGTCGACTCAAAAGTCACGTCGACTCAAAAGTCACGTCGACTCAGTCACCCCGCTGCTCTGCCTGCGTGCTTCAATTTCCACTCCGTACTGCTTATTTGGATTGGATGCACCGCAGGCCCTCGGTATTTTCATCGCACACAAGGTGCTGCTGCATCCGCCACCATCCCTCTTTCCATCGCTCTTGCCATTGCTCTTTCCATCGCTCTTTCCATCGCTCCCCCAACCCTCGTTATTGTCACGCTGCCCTGCCAGGAAGGGCGTGGTTGGGCATCCAACCAACAGCCAACGTGCCGTTGCCCTCTTAAATTTCGAGTCGACTCACAAATCAACCAACCCTCAATATTGGCACGCTACCCTTTTCCCTCCTCCCTCCCTCCCCCCTCCCAGGCAAGGCGTGCTACAGCATCCACCGCTTCCCAGAAGCCATATCCGACCGCCAATGCGTTACCCTCTTGGGTTCCGAGCTGACCAACCCTCGTTGTTGTCACACTACCCCACCCCCCAGGCAAGGCGTGCTACAGCATCCACCGCTTCCCAGAAGCCATAGCGGACTGGCAGCGAGCCATGGCCCTCTTGGTTTGTTGTGATTTGACGACTCACAAGGTCACCAGCCCTCGTTATTGTCACACTAACCCGCCCCCTCCCTCCCCTCCCCCAGGCAAGGCGTGGTTCAGCATGCACCGCTTCCCGGAAGCCATAGCGGACCGGCAGCGAGCCGTGGCCCTCCTGGCGGCCTCTGCTTCTACCTCCAACCCTTACAGCAGTGGGAGAAGTGGGAGCAGTCCGGGCGACTACCACCCCTCCGACCTGCCACGGGCGCTGCTCTCTTTGGTACGCTGCTGCTCCTGTGCTGTGCTACCTTCCCTGTTGATACGCCTCAAAAGCACGCGCACTGCTCTCTTGGGCTGTTTTTGAGGCGCCTCAAAAATCTGCTCTCTTTGGTACGCTGCTGCTCCTGTGCTGCGCTTCCTTCCCTGTTGATGCGCCTCAAAAGCACGCGCAATGCTCTCTTGGGCTGTAGCAGATTTGTTCTGAGACGTCTCAAAACAAATCTTCATACACGTGGCTGCTGCTCCTGTTCTGCGCTACCTTCCCTGTTGACGCACCTCAAAAGCACGCGCACTGCTCGCTTGGGCTGTTGCAGACCGCCAGCAAGCTGAGGGGCAGTGGTGGTGGCAGTGGGAGCAGTGAGGGAAAGGAGGGCCCTTTAGAAGCAGTGGGAGCGGTGGGATCAGTGGGGGAAGGGAAGCTACCACTTCTTCGACCTGCCACGGGGCACTGCTTTCTGTGTTACGCCACTGCTCGTAGAAGCCACCCCCCCGCCCTGGTTTTTTGAAATCACCCCACACTCGTCATCTCTTGCCAAACCACTCCTCCGACCTGCCACGGGGCACTGCTCTCTGTGTTACGCCACTGCTCCTGTGCTGCGCGTCCATCCCTCCTCCCTCTATGCGCGCCCACCACTCACCACTCAAGGCCTACCAGCAGTGAGGTGAGGCCAGTCAGGGAAGCTACCCTACTAGCCTACCACCCACCCCTCCGACCTGCCACGGGCACTGCTCTCCCTGGTATGCTGCCGTTCCTGTGCTGCTCTCCCTGCCGAGTTGACTTTTGAGTTGACTCAAAAAGTCAATTTGACCTGCCACGGGCACTGCTCTCCCTGGTATGCTGCCGCTCCTGCGCTTCTCTCCCTGGCCCCACGTGCTCCCACCACTCATAGATTCAGCAACCCCTTTTCGTGCTTGCCGATCCTCTCCTAGGGCCACAGGGGTGACTTTTGTGTCGACTCAAAAGTCGAGTCGACTCAAAAGTCGAGTCGATTCAAAAGTCGAGTCGACTCAAAAGTCACCTCCATCCCTCCGATTTCTCCCTCTCCTAGGGCCACAGGGGCCTTTGCGCGGCAGGCAGGACGCAGGGTGGTCTCGAATTCTCGAAAGACATGTATTGAGACTCCAAAGAACCAGGCTACAAAGGCTTAAGGATCACCAATTGCTTATGCATTAATATCTGCCCATGCCCAATGAAATCCCTCCCATACTATTCCTTCCCCTCGCTCCCTCTCCCAGGGTCAGGCCCTGCATGCAGCAGGCGGGTTGCAGGAAGCAGGGTGCACAGGGGAGGGGGGCACCAAGCACCTTGCCTGTCCCTCCCCCCCTTGGTGCCTCTCCCACGGCCAGGCCCTGCATGCAGCAGGCAGGGTGCAGGAAGCAGTGGAAGCTAACGAACGGGCTGTCGCCCTCCTCTCATCCCATCCTTTTCCATCCCCCATCCTTGCCTGCCCCTCCCCCTCACTCCCTCTCCCAGGGCCAGGCCCTGCATGCAGCAGGCAGGGTGCAGGAGGCAGTGGAAGCCAACGAACGCGCCGCCGTCCTCCTCTCATCCCAGAACCTCACGAGTCCTGCCACGTCAGCAGCAGCCACGTCAGCAGAAGACTCATCAGCAGCCGCCAGCTCAGCGGAGTGGGTGACGGTGTCAGCGGCGTGGGGGATGGTGGGGCTGTCTTACCATTGGCTGCCGGATGCGGACAAGGCTGAGAGGGCGTTCCGATTGGCTGTTGAGGCGGACCCCCGGTGAGTGACTGAGAGGGGGGAGTAGTCTATTTTTGAGTCGGGAGTAGTAGTCTATTTTTGAGTTGATAAAGAATAGGGAGTAGTAGCAGGAACAGGTTCAGTCAGATCGGAAAGAGCAGCACGGGATTAGCGCCACACCACAGTGAGATGAGATGAGAGATATCCACACCACACAACTGGGCCTGGGAAGAGCACAGTGACCAAAAGCACAGTGACACCAAAAGCACAGTGACACCAAAAGCACAGTGACACCAAAAGCACAGTGACACCAAAAGCACAGTGACACCAAAAGCACAGTGACACCAAAAGCACAGTGACACCAAAAGCACAGTGACACCAAAAGCACAGTGACACCAAAAGCACAGTGACACCAAAAGCACAGTGACACCAAAAGCACAGTGACACCAAAAGCACAGTGACACCAAAAGCACAGTGACACCAAAAGCACAGTGACACCAAAAGCACAGTGACACCAAAAGCACAGTGACACCAAAAGCACAGTGACACCAAAAGCACAGTGACATCAAAAGAACAGTGACACCAGAAGCACAGTGACACCAAAAGCACAGTGACTGGGCAATGCTCTGCGGCGGGATGGGATGGGAGGGGCTTTATTTGTCATGTTCCGATGTTTTACCATTGGCTGCTGGATGCTGACAAGGCTGAGCGAGCGTTCCGATTGGCTGTTGAGGCGGACCCCCGGCGAGTGAGGCAGGGAAGAGCACTGTGCTTTTGGTTCCGCCTCAATAGGAACCCACGCTGTTGGTCCCTAGATGGAGTCTCTCCTCCTCCTCTCCCTGACCCCCACCCTCTCCCGTCTTCACCACACATCTCCTCCCCTCCTCGCTCTCTTCTCACCCCTCTCCCTTTTTGCTGCAGCCCAGGAACCCCACCAGCACAGGCCATGTGCGCTCGGGCACTAAGGCCTCTTTCTTGTTTACTCCTCTTCGCCCCCCCCAGCAATGTTGCTATACCACTTGGGATACAAGGATCCGAGGAATCTCTTTCCTGGTTACACCATGCTGCCCCGGGCTGCCTCGGGCACTAAGTCCTCTTGTTTACTCCTCTTCGCCCCCACAAATGTTGCTATACCACCAGTCTCCTCTCCTTCTCTCCCTGATCCCCGCCCTCTACTGTCTTCATCACACGTCTGCTCTCCTTCTCGTCCTCTCCCCACCCCTCCCCCACTTGGCTCCAGCGCAGGAACCCCAAGGCCTACCAGGGCTGGGCAATGCACCGACAGATGACAGGGGACTTGAAAAGTAAGGCAGTGCGGCTACAGGCACCCCAAGGATAAACCACAAGGCCTCTCCTCTCTGCTCCTCGCCCTTTGCTCCAGCGCAGGAACCCCAAGGCCTACCAGGGTTGGGCAATGCACCGACAGATGACAGGGGATTTGAAGTAAGTGCGAGGTGTAAGTGCTTGGGGCAGCTGGGAGGGAGAGTGAGAGTGGCGTGAGAGAAGCAGGGAGAGTTTGGAGTGAGTGACGGAGCTGGAGAAAAAGAGAGTTAGTAGCGCAGGAACCCCAAGGCTTACCAGCACTGGGGAATGCACCGACAGGCAGGCAACAGGGGAGTGCGAGCTCAAAGTGCCTAGGGGAGCTGGGAGTGGGAGTGGGGGATAATAGAACGTGCTGGAGTGGGGGATAATGGAACGAGGTGACTTTTGAGTCGACTCAAAAGTCACCTCGTAGACTTGAAGTGAGTGTGAGCTCAAAGTGCCTAGGGGAGCTGGGAGGGAGTGGGGGATGATGGAACGTGCTGGAGTGAGGGAAAGAGTCGGAGTAAAACGGAGCTGGAACCAGACACCCCAAGGCTTACAAGCACTGGGCAATGCACTGACAGATGACAGTGGGACTTGAAGTGACTTTTGAGTCGACTCAAAAGATGACAGGGGGACTTGAAGTGACTTTTGAGTCGACTCAAAAGATGACAGGGGGACTTGAAGTGACTTTTGAGTCGACTCAAAAGATGACAGGGGGACTTGAAGTGACTTTTGAGTCGACTCAAAAGATGACAGGGGGACTTGAAGTGACTTTTGAGTCGACTCAAAAGATGACAGGGGGACTTGAAGTGACTTTTGAGTCGACTCAAAAGATGACAGGGGGACTTGAAGTGACTTTTGAGTCGACTCAAAAGATGACAGGGGGACTTGAAGTGACTTTTGAGTCGACTCAAACGATGACAGGGGGACTTGAAGTGACTTTTGAGTCGACTCAAAAGATGACAGGGGGACTTGAAGTGAGTGCGAGCTGAGGGAAGGACACACAGAATCAGAAGCACTTCCTGTATTCGTTCTACTCGACTTATTGCAGGCACTACCCAACCCAACCCATCCCCTTTCTCCTTCTTTCACCTTTCAATGGCCACGCTCCCTTTCGTTTCTCCCCCCAGTACCACACAGAGGCGTCAGTCATTCCCTCCCCACCTAGTGGGTCTCCCTCGCCCCTGTTGAGGAGTGGGTCTCCCTCGCCCCTGTTGAGGAGTGGGTCTCCCTCGCCCCTGTTGAGGAGTGGGTCTCCCTCGCCCCTGTTGAGGAGTGGGTCTCCCTCGCCCCTGTTGAGGAGTGGGTCTCCCTCGCCCCTGTTGAGGAGTGGGTCTCCCTCGCCCCTGTTGAGGAGTGGGTCTCCCTCGCCCCTGTTGAGGAGTGGGTCTCCCTCGCCCCTGTTGAGGAGTGGGTCTCCCTCGCCCCTGTTGAGGAGTGGGTCTCCCTCGCCCCTGTTGAGGAGTGGGTCTCCCTCGCCCCTGTTGAGGAGTGGGTCTCCCTCGCCCCTGTTGAGGAGTGGGTCTCCCTCGCCCCTGTTGAGGAGTGGGTCTCCCTCGCCCCTGTTGAGGAGTGGGTCTCCCTCGCCCCTGTTGAGGAGTGGGTCTCCCTCGCCCCTGTTGAGGAGTGGGTCTCCCTCGCCCCTGTTGAGGAGTGGGTCTCCCTCGCCCCTGTTGAGGAGTGGGTCTCCCTCGCCCCTGTTGAGGAGTGGGTCTCCCTCGCCCCTGTTGAGGAGTGGGTCTCCCTCGCCCCTGTTGAGGAGTGGGTCTCCCTCGCCCCTGTTGAGGAGTGGGTCTCCCTCGCCCCTGTTGAGGAGTGGGTCTCCCTCGCCCCTGTTGAGGAGTGGGTCTCCCTCGCCCCTGTTGAGGAGTGGGTCTCCCTCGCCCCTGTTGAGGAGTGGGTCTCCCTCGCCCCTGTTGAGGAGTGGGTCTCCCTCGCCCCTGTTGAGGAGTGGGTCTCCCTCGCCCCTGTTGAGGAGTGGGTCTCCCTCGCCCCTGTTGAGGAGTGGGTCTCCCTCGCCCCTGTTGAGGAGTGGGTCTCCCTCGCCCCTGTTGAGGAGTGGGTCTCCCTCGCCCCTGTTGAGGAGTGGGTCTCCCTCGCCCCTGTTGAGGAGTGGGTCTCCCTCGCCCCTGTTGAGGAGTGGGTCTCCCTCGCCCCTGTTGAGGAGTGGGTCTCCCTCGCCCCTGTTGAGGAGTGGGTCTCCCTCGCCCCTGTTGAGGAGTGGGTCTCCCTCGCCCCTGTTGAGGAGTGGGTCTCCCTCGCCCCTGTTGAGGAGTGGGTCTCCCTCGCCCCTGTTGAGGAGTGGGTCTCCCTCGCCCCTGTTGAGGAGTGGGTCTCCCTCGCCCCTGTTGAGGAGTGGGTCTCCCTCGCCCCTGTTGAGGAGTGGGTCTCCCTCGCCCCCTGTCCTTGCTTTCCTTTCCCCGCATGCCCACGTGCTCGCTCTCTATCCACAGGCGGCATTTCCATCCCCATGCCACATCTCTCCACTTGTCGCTTTCAACCTCGCCCACGCCAGGGTCGCCGTTCCTCTCCTCGCCTCGCCAACTCCTTAGTCGCGTGTATGAAGAAGTGTTTTGAGACGTCTCAAAACACTTGTCGCTTTCAACCTTGCCCATGCCAGGGTCGGCTGTAGAACCACTGGGCGTACAAGAAAGACCCAAGAAACCTCTTCCCTGGATATGCCATGCTGACCCCTGCTGCCGCCTTTGCTCCTCGCTGCCCGCCTCGCCGTTCCTCTCCTCTCCTCGCCAACTCCTTCCTCGCTTGGCACATTTCTCCACCCCAGGCTGGTTCCGAGAATTCTCAGAATCAACTTGCAACGAGAACGCCAACTCAGAATTCTCCCTCCGCTCATCTCTCCACGCTCACCCGCTCTCCCACTCCCCCTTCACCCTCCAAACACCAGGGGCACCATTCCTCTCCTCACCAAGTGGGTCTCCCTCGCCCCTGTTGAGGAGTGGGCCTCCCTCGCCCCTGTTGAGGAGTGGGTCTCCCTCGCCCCTGTTGAGGAGTGGGTCTCCCTCGCCCCTGTTGAGGAGTGGATCTCCCTCGCCCCTGTTGAGGAGTGGGCCTCCCTCGCCCCTGTTGAGGAGTGGGTCTCCCTCGCCCCTGTTGAGGAGTGGGTCTCCCTTGCCCCTGTTGAGGAGTGGATCTCCCTTGCCCCTGTTGAGGAGTGGGTCTCCCTCGCTCCTGTTGAGGAGTGGGCCTCCCTCGCCCCTGTTGAGGAGTGGGTCTCCCTCGCCCCTCTCGCCTTCCTCTCTTTCCCCTCCCCTCCCCACGTCCTTGCTCTTCCCACACGCTTCTCATCGACCTTTTCACCCTCCAAACACCCGGGGCACCATTTTTTTCTCCTCACCAAGTGGTTCTTCCTTGCCCTTCGCACTCCCAAGGGCCAATTGTTTCCTCTCCTTTCCCTTTCCTCGCCAAATGTTCACCCTATCCCACGCCAGAGGCACCATCCCTCTCCTCACCAAGTGCTTCTCCCTCGCCCTTCGCACTCCCAACCCCAAGGGCTGCTTTCTCCGACGACGCCAGATGCACCAACCGTCTTCTTTGATATCACATATCCCACGCCCCCTTTCAATTCACCCACACCCGCACCGGAGGCGCCATCCCTCTCCTCGTCAAGTGGTTCTCCCTTGCTCCTCGCACCTTCAAGGCTCATTCGTCTTCCTCTCCTTCCATCCCCTCGTGCCCTTCTGCTTGCTCTCCCCTCCCCACACGCCTTCCCTTCACCCTCCCTCCTCCCCCACGCCAGAGGCACCATCCCTCTCCTCACCAAGTGGGTCTCCCTCGCCCCTCTTGCCGCAACCCCAAGGTTCACTCGTCTTCCTCTCCTTCCCAACCCTTCCTCTTCTCCCCTCCCCCACACCAGAGGCACCATCCCTCTCCTCACCAAGTGGGTCTCTCTCGCCCCGCGCACCCCCAAGGACCATCTCACCCTGGGCTGTTGTCGGCAGGCCCTGGGGCACATGGCACACGCGGTTAGTGCAGCACTGCGCACGGGTTCAGTGGTGGAGCTTGTGTGGGGCTTATTTATTGGCTTTCAGGGTTCAGGGTTTAGGGTCCCAGGCCCCCCCGCGCACCCCCAAGGACCACCTCACCCTGGGCTGCTGTCGGCAGGCCCTGGGGCACATGCGGTGAGCGCAGCACTAGCTAGGGTTTGGGGTTATCACAACACTTGCCCCTCACACCCCCCGCGCACCCCCAAGGCCCATCTCACCCTGGGCTGTTTTCGGTAGGCCCTGGGACACATGCACATGCGGTAAGTGCAGCACCGCGCACAGGTCATGCATGGGGGTAGAAGTGAGGTTTAGGTTTGAAGGTACCAATCGCCCCTCACACCTCCAAGCACCACCTTGTTAGTGTTAGTCTTCAATCTCACACTTTGTACTTTGTATTTTCTATATCCTAGAGAAGTGTAGTTTGCACATTCTGTTTGGTTGGGTGTACACCTATGCCCGTTCAACTATGCCCGTTCAACTATGCCTGTTCAACTATGCCCGTTCAACTATGCCCGTTCCACTATGCCCGTTCCACTATGCCCGTTCAACTATGCCCGTTCCACTATGCCCGTTCAACTATGCCCGTTCAACTATGCCCGTTCCACTATGCCCGTTCAACTATGCCCGTTCCACTATGCCCGTTCAACTATGCCCGTTCAACTATGCCCGTTCAACTATGCCCGTTCCACTATGCCCATTCAACTATGCCCATTCCACTATGCCCATTCCACTATGCCCATTCAACTATGCCCATTCCACTATGCCCATTCAACTATGCCCATTCAACTATGCCCATTCAACTATGCCCATTCAACTATGCCCATTCAACTATGCCCATTCAACTATGTCCATTCAACTATGCCCTTTCAACCATGCCCATTCAACCATGCCCATTCAACCATGCCCATTCACCCATGCCCATTCAACTATGCCCATTCAACTATGCCCATTCAACTATGCCCATTCAACTATGCCCATTCAACTATGCCCATTCAACTATGCCCATTCAACTATGCCCATTCAACTATGCCCATTCAACTATGCCCATTCAACTATGTCCATTCAACTATGCCCTTTCAACCATGCCCATTCAACCATGCCCATTCAACCATGCCCATTCAACCATGCCCATTCAACTATGCCCATTCAACTATGCCCATTCAACTATGCCCATTCAACTATGCCCATTCAACTATGCCCATTCAACTATGCCCATTCAACTATGCCCATTCAACTATGCCCATTCAACTATGCCCATTCACCCATGCCCATTCACCCATGCTTAATCCCACATACCCACACCCACATACCCATATGCACACATGTCCCTTCACATATGCCCCTGCACTCATGCCCATCACCATCATCCATCACCACCCTCCACCGCACACCACCGTGCAGGTATCTGCCTTCACTCGCATCATTGATGCCCCATCCGACCCTGAAGATGCTCCCTTCCTCTTCCACGCCTTCTACCAGGTAAGCTGCGGTGGGGAGTGGTAGATGCTGTATAGGGTTACCACCATGTATCACCACCCACCGTATTGGTGGCTTCCAACCCAACCGACCCTCAAGATGCGCCCATCCTCTCCCACGCCTTCTAACCCATCCAACCCTCAGAATGCTCCCATTCTTTTCCACGCCTTCTACCAGGTAAGCTGCGGTGGGGAGTGGTAGATGCCTTGTAGGGAGCTACCCTGGGTGGCTTCTGTAGATAGATAGCTTTTCAGGTGATCTGCATGGCACCCCATTCGACCCTCAAGATGCGCCCATCCTCTGCCACGCCTTCTACCAGGTAGGCTTCAGGAGTGCTGTGTGCTTTTGAGACGTCTCAAAAAAACCACGCCTTCCACCAGGTAAGCTTGGGGAGTGCTGTGTGCTTTCCAGGAAATCATCAGGTGGTTGCCTCGGATTACCAGGTGGCTTCCAGGAAATTACTAAGAGTTCATAATCAGGTGACTGTCAGGTGACTGTCAGGTGACTTTCAGGTGACTTTCAGGTGACTATTTCTTGACCTATTAGGTGAGTGAGTTGTACGAGAAGGAATATGAAGGTGGTTTGCCGCTTCTGAGCACCCGTACTTCCTGTGCGTCTACGTCCCTTCCCACTCTTTCCCTTCTCTCTGCTCTTTCAACCTTTCTCTTCCATTCCAGTCCACTACTTTTGTCTCAGCGTGATGTCAAGTTCCTAGATGTCTCAAATCTTTATGTCCTTCTCTCCGTTTCCCTTCCCGTTTCTCCTATCTTTTCACATCCCTCGCTGGTGTGAGATTGCCATATTCACGGCAATGCTTCCCACCTAGTTCATTAGGTCCAATCCCCATGTCCCTCTCTCCGTTTCCCTTCCCTTGTCGCCTCTCTTTTCACATCCCTCGCAGCGTGAGATCGCCACATTAACGGCAAAGCATCTCGAGAGCTCCTTCAGCGACTACTCCATTGAAGGCGCCTTCAGCACCAAGTTCCTGGTGAGGGCGTCCTGAGGGGGAGATGGTGCGAGTATGCAGACAGTGAGGGCGTGCAGACAGTGAGGGCATGCAGACAGTGAGGGCATGCAGACAGTGAGGGCATGCAGACAGTGAGGGCATGCAGACAGTGAGGGCATGCAGACAGTGAGGGCATGCAGACAGTGAGGGCATGCAGACAGTGAGGGTATGCAGACAGTGAGGGTATGCAGACAGTGAGGGCATGCAGACAGTGAGGGCATGCAGACAGTGAGGGCATGCAGACAGTGAGGGCATGCAGACAGTGAGGGCATGCAGACAGTGAGGGCATGCAGACAGTGAGGGCATGCAGACAGTGAGGGCATGCAGACAGTGAGGGCATGCAGACAGTGAGGGCATGCAGACAGTGAGGGCATGCAGACTTTTAGCGATCCTCGAGAGTTCCTTCAGCGACTACTCCATTGAAGGCGCCTTGAGCACCAAGTTCCTGGTGAGGGCGTCCTGAGGGGAGAGGGCTTGGAGGTAGGATGGGATTCCCATTTTCACAAACACATCTCCACACCTCTCTCCTTCAGCTACTTCTCCATTGAAGACTTCTTTCAGCACTAAGCTTCCTGGTGAGGGCACGTAACGGGCATGGGGAAGGGAGGGAGGTGGTGAGAAAGTGACAACTCCAAGGGCCCAGCTTGAGACAACATGCTGCCGTTTTAGCGCTACTAACGTCCCTTGTTTTCTCATGTGGTTGAATAAACATCCGTTGTAGTCTAGTCGGTTAGGATACTCGGCTCTCACCCGAGAGACCCGGGTTCAAGTCCCGGCAACGGAAAACCTTTTGTCAATTTCTTGAGGAACCAAATTGGTGTAGGGGCAGATGAAACTCAATCATGGTAAGTGGCTGAGCAACGATAGCTTTTCTTTCATTATTTCTCTTAGGTATTGCTATGCGTTTCCCCCTGTGCCGTTGCTCCAGCTCTCAAATCCATTGCTTCAGAACCACTGGACTCGACTTCAAATCGGCCCACAAGGAGGGCCCAAGGAACCTCTTCTTCTACACCGTTTTTTTGCAGCTTGTTTTTGAGAAATTTCACAAGCAACCTTGAAATTTATGAAAAGCAGCTGTGAGGATTCTCAGAAACAAACTTGAGAATTTTAAGAAATAACCTCGCTAAGGAACAACCTTCAGAATTGTAAGATGCAGCCTGCAATCAATCAAAAGGAGGACCCGAGAAACCCTCTTCCACACCATCTCATGTTGTCTTGTTATGCTGCTTCTCTTGCTTGCTCCTTTTCGTACCCCTCACCCTTCCTGTCCCCTGCCCTTTTCACCCCATTCCCACAACCCCTTCAGAACCACTACGCGTTCAAGAAGGACCCAAGTAGCATCTTCCCTGGCTGTGCCTTGCTGCCCCCTGCTGCCCTCAATTGTTCACTTTTTGTCTTCATACCCTTCCTGTCCTATCCCCTCAAACTTCAGAACCACTGGGCGTACAAGAAGGATCCGACAAACCTCTTTCCCGGCTATGCCATGCTGCCCCCTGCTGCTTCTCTTGCTCCCCTGCCTTTCCGCTTACCCGTCCTGTCTCCTCCTGCCCCTACATGTCCCCTGCCGCCCATCTCACCCAACCCTCTTTTAGAACCAGTGGGCGTACAAGAAGGATCCAAAAACACTTGCTCTGAGCTATGCCATGCACCTGTCCCTAGCTGTGACTCTTGTTTCCGTTCATCTCCCAGCAGCCGTCTGTTCCCTGTTGACCCATCTATCCGCACCCCCTTCAGAACCACTGGGTGTACAAGAAGGATCCGAAAAACCTCTTTCCCGGCTATGCCATGCTGCCCCAGGCTGCCGCCTACCTCCTTACCCTTATTGTCCCCTTTGTGCCCCATACGCCTCCACCCCATCCCCTTCAGAACCACTGGGCATACAAGAAGGATCCGAGTCTTTCCCGGCTATGCCATGCGGTTCCCTGTCTCTAGCCTCCTTCCCCTTACCCCTTCTAGTCCCTTTCACCCCATCTCCTCACCCTTCCCATTTCTTGCCTATCTCGCCGTTTCTTCCACCCCCTTCAGAACCACTGGGCATACAAGAAGGATCCGAGAAACCTCTTTCCCGGTTACACCATGCTGCCCCAGGCTGCCGCGTTTGCTCCCGGCCGCCCGCCTCGACGGGCGGCAGAGGAGGACGAGAGGGAGAGGGCGAGGGTGGTTTGGACGGCTGATTTGATTGGTGGGCGCGTGCAGTACAGCAGTGCTGGCAACGTTGTGAACAGGCGAGCGGTGAGCGAGGGGTGCTGGATAGCAGAGAAGGGGTGAGATGGAGGATGAGAAGGGGAGAACGCCTGGTTTTGGGGCGGCGGACCTGATTGGTGGGCGCGTGCAGTACAGCAGCATTGGCAACGTCATGAACAGGCGAGCGGTGAGCAATGGTTGTGGGAGAAGAGGGATTGAGGGTTTGCCTTGCTGCAGTTGACTGGGTGTTTGAGTTCGGGGGCATGCAGTACAGCGGTGCTGGCAATGTCGTCAATGGGAGAGCAGCAGTAAGCGATGGTGGTTGGGGGACTGATGCAAGAGAAAGGAAGCTCTGAGACTTGTAATCGATTGGGGGACGAGAGGGGGAGGGTGGTTGGGGGGGTCGACTTGGTGTTTTGGGAGTGCAGTACAGCCGAGCTGGCTTGCAACCTTTTTGAGATGCCTTAAAAACCGTCTCAGTTCAGCTGAACCGGCCAGCTGAAATCGCCAGCCAGCGCGGGTTTTGGTGAGTGCAGTGCAGCCGAGCTGGCTTGCAACCAACCGTCTTTAGACGCCTAAAAAACCATCTCAGTTCACGCGGGTTTTGGTGAGTGTAGTGCAGCCGAGCTGGCTTGCAACCTTCTGAGCAGTCAAAACTGTTTTGGAGGCAATTATATGGGCGCCTCATGTTTTTTAGCTTTCATTTCTTAGGCGCCAGCAATATTGCCTAAACGATTGAGGCGCTGCCGAAATCGCTTCGGTGTGTGCAATCAGCACGCGTTTCCAGTCACTCCTGCGCAACTCTCTTCACTCCTCGTCACCTCTCATCAGCTGACGTTTAACCCCCGCACCCCTCTCATCCCGTCGGTTTTCCTAACTGGCAGCACCTCACCTTCAGGCAGCGGGCCTGGCAGCGCTGAAATTGAGACGACTTTTGAGGCGCCTTAAAAAAGCACCACCAGGCAGGCAGCGGGCCTGTCAGCGCTGAATGAAATTGATGCAATCAGCACTCCTGTGCAACTCCCGTTACTCCTTGTCACATCTCTATTTTCTGCTGTTTACCCCTCTTTCCCTTTTCACTTGCTAACTGGCAGCAGAGGGCAACACAGAAATTGATGCAATTAGCACGAGTCGTCCACTCCTATGGAGCTCTCCTCACTCCGTCCGTATCACCGCTCTTCACTCCCGTGTGTTCCTCACTCCTTATCACCGCTCTTCACCCCCGTGTGTTCCTCACTCCTTATCACCGCTCTTCAACCCCGTCATTGTTTCACCCAACCGCAGCACTGACAGGGCAGCGGGCATGGAAGCGCTGGCAGTCATGCAATCAGCACGCGTCCATTCACTCCTATGCAAATCCTTTTACTCCTCGTCACCGCTCTTCACCTACCGTCATCCCCCGTTCACCCTGTTGTTTCCCAAATGGCAGCACAGGGCAGCGGGCATGGCAGCCCTAGAAGTCATGCAATCAGCACGTGCCACGTGGCGGTGGTGGGCCAAGAGAAAGCACAAGCATGGACTGACGGAGGGGAGGAGAGCTGCAGATCCAAGGAAAAATGAAGAGGAGGAGGAAGATGAGGAGGAGGATGAGGAGGAGGAGGAGGATGATGAGGAGGAGGAGGAGGAGGGGGTGGGGATGGTTGTGGATGGGTGGAGAGGGGTGTTTGACATTGGTGCGAGGTGGAGGCAGCTGGTGGACCCATGCGAGCCTGTCTTGTGGATGGAGAGGGTCAGGTGAGGTGCAGTGCGGTTTGGGGGGAGACGAGTTGTGGTTGTGGTTCCCTGGTGGGAGGCATTGGTGGGAGATGGAGGCAGCTGTTGAACCCATGCGAGCCGGTGGTTTGGATGGAGAGGGTCAGGTGAGGTGCAGTGCGGCTGGGTGTGAGTTGATTGTGAAAGAGGCTTTGGTGCGAGGAGGAGGCAGCTGGTAGACCCATGCGAGCCGGTGGTTTGGATGGAAACGCTGAGGTGCGGTGCGGTGCGGTTGGGTTCAAGTTAATGATGAGAGGTTATGTAGTGACTACCTGCAACCCACTCTTCATCTCCTTCTACCCAACCCCCATGTGCAGGAGTGTTGACTCCTCTCTGGTGGGCAACTCCGTGACTCCAATTTCTGTGTTCCGCCAACTCACCACCAAATACGTCCTCTCCTTCCCTCACTTCCCCCTCTCCGTTCCTGACTCCTCACCACTCATCGCCACTCCCTGCAAGCTCCCCTCCGCCCCTCAATGCCCCCCATTTTCGTCATTTCCCCCTACCTCTCCCCCGCACGTGCAGGAGCGTTGACTCCTCTCTGGTGGGCAACTCCGTGACTCCAATTTCTGTGTTCCGCCAACTCACCACCAAATACGTCCTCTCCTTCCCTCACTTCCCCCTCTCCGTTCCTGACTCCTCACCACTCTTCGCCACTCCCTGCAAGCTCCCCTCCGCCCCTCAATGCCCCCCATTTTCGTCATTTCCCCCTACCTCTCCCCTGCATGTGCAGGAGCGCTGACCCCTCTCTGGTGGGGAACTCTGTGACTCCAATTTCTGTGTTCCGCCAACTCACCACCAAATATGCAGACTACTATAACAGGTGTGCTGAGATGCAGACTACTGTAACGAGTATGTTGGGATTCAGATTTCTGTACAAGCTTCTGTCGGATGCAAACCGTCGTACTGCCATGCTGCTCTGCACGAGTCAACACTACACAAGTCAACAACATCATGCCTGCCTGTCTGTCTTACTGACCCTGTGAAACTCACTTACAGCTAGCTATGACACATTCCTGCACCCCTCTTCCCAACTAAGGCCCTCTCAGTCCCCAAGAGCATCGTGAATCAGCTGCATGATGTCTCTATGTCTGTCTGACTGACCCTGTAGAACTCACTCACAGCTATGACACATTCCTGCTCCCCTCTTCCCAATCAAAGCCCTCTCGGTCCAGCCGAAGCAGCGCCATGTGCTCTCCAAGCCCAGGACAGCCAATGCATTCACCGCATGCCTCCTGCTCGCAGAAAGCATCCCCCACGACTGCCCTCCCCCTCCCCGTCCCCATCCCCATCCCCATCAGAACCCTCTCTGTGATCAAGAGCACGATGCAGCAGCACCACCATGTGCTCTCCAACATTCACCTTATGCCCGTTCTCTCTCTCCCACCACCATCAGAACCCTCTCAGTGCTCAAGAGCATGATGCAGCAGCACCACCATGTGCTCACAAACATTCACCTCATGCCTGCTCTGCTCTCTCCCTTCCCATCAGAACCCTCTCAGTGCTCAAGAGCATGATGCAGCAGCATGTGGAGTCAGCACCCCTTAAATCCCATCGCCCACCACTGCCCTCCCCCTCCCCTCCCCCTCCCCATCCTCATCAGGACCCTCTCAGTGCTCAAGACCTACATGCAGCAGCAGCATCATGTGTTCTCCAATGTGGATGACCTGCGCATTCCCCTCTCAAAGCGGGAAGTCGCCAGGGTGAGTGACGAATGGATGGTTAGGGTTTTTCTTTCGTTCTTTCTTTCTTTCTTTCTTTCTTGAATTCTGAAACACACATGGCATCAGTTTCAGCCTAGTGGGTGTGCCGGCACACAGCCATGCCAAACTGTTCTCTCTCCTCCACTGCTGCTCACCAACCTTGAAAATTTGCATGGCATTGAGAGGTAACTTTTTTAGGCGCCTCAAAAAGCACCTCAATGCACGCAGATTTCGAGGTGCCTAACAAATATTTCCTCTCCGCTGCTGCTTCCCAACCATGGAAATCTGCATGGGATTGAGAGGTAGCTTTTTGAGGCTCCGTCTTTTTCGTCCCCGCTTCTGCTTACCGACCAACCCTGGAAATTCGCATAGCACTCATTGCACCCATGGCGCATCACACCTTACTCACACCCATGCCCCATGCACCCCCTCTGGTGCATGATTCTTGAGGCGCCTCAAAATTGTCATGCCATTCCCACCCATACCATGCCATTCCCACCCGTGCCATGCCATTCCCACCCATGCCATGCCATTCCCACCCGTGCCATGCCATTCCCACCCATGCCATGCCATTCCCACCCGTGCCATGCCATTCCCACCCATGCCATGCCATTCCCACCCGTGCCATGCCATTCCCACCCGTGCCATGCCATTCCCACCCGTGCCATGCCATTCCCACCCGTGCCATGCCATTCCCACCCATGCCATGCCATTCCCACCCATGCCATGCCATTCCCACCCGTGCCATGCCATTCCCACCCATGCCATGCCATTCCCACCCGTGCCATGCCATTCCCACCCGTGCATGCCATTCCCACCCGTGCCATGCCATTCCCACCCATGCCATGCCATTCCCACCCATGCCATGCCATTCCCACCCGTGCCATGCCATTCCCACCCGTGCCATGCCATTCCCACCCATGCCATGCCATTCCCAACCGTGTCATGTCATTCCCAGCCATGCCATGCCATTCCCACCCGTGCCATGCCATTCCCACCCATGCCATGCCATTCCCACCCGTGCCATGCCATTCCCACCCGTGCCATGCCATTCCCACCCGTGCCATGCCATTCCCACCCATGCCATGCCATTCCCACCCGTGCCATGCCATTCCCACCCATGCCATGCCATTCCCACCCGTGCCATGCCATTCCCACCCATGCCATGCCATTCCCACCCGTGCCATGCCATTCCCACCCGTGCCATGCCATTCCCACCCGTGCCATGCCATTCCCACCCATGCCATGCCATTCCCACCCGTGCCATGCCATTCCCACCCGTGCCATGCCATTCCCACCCGTGCCATGCCATTCCCACCCATGCCATGCCATTCCCACCCGTGCCATGCCATTCCCACCCATGCCATGCCATTCCCACCCGTGCCATGCCATTCCCACCCATGCCATGCCATTCCCACCCGTGCCATGCCATTCCCACCCGTGCCATGCCATTCCCACCCATGCCATGCCATTCCCACCCGTGCCATGCCATTCCCACCCGTGCCATGCCATTCCCACCCGTGCCATGCCATTCCCACCCGTGCCATGCCATTCCCACCCGTGCCATGCCATTCCCACCCATGCCATGCCATTCCCACCCGTGCCATGCCATTCCCACCCATGCCATGCCATTCCCACCCGTGCCATGCCATTCCCACCCATGCCATGCCTTTCCCACCCGTGCCATGCTATTCCCACCCGTGCCATGCCATTCCCACCAGTGCCATGCCATTCCCACCCATGCCCCATCGCACCCGCTCTGGTGCATGCCTCATTCATCCACGCAGCAGCAACAGCACATACGATCCGTTTGGACTTGTCTATCAGAGGTTTCTTCGTGTGTTTTCGTTCCTTTCCTCCATCCGTGCCACATCCCCATGCCACATCCCCGTGCCACATCCCCGTGTTACATCACCACATATGGCCCTGCCACAGGTAGAGGCAGCAGCAACGGAGTACCATCTGTTTGACATTGTCGGGCAAAGCTTCTTTGTTGTCACTCCATGCCACTCTGCGGCGTTTCCTGGGTACGTGTGTTGTTGTGTTTCTTGTGTTTCTCTTAACCCATGAGGAAATTGAGGTCGTTTTTGAGGCGCCTCAAAAACGACCTCCTGGGTACGTGTGTTTCTTGTCTTCCTTTTAACCCATGAAAGAATTGCCTTTGACCCGCCCCATCTTTTGTGAGCCAAAGCTTCATTGCCATGTGAGTGACCCCTTCCCTGCCACTCTGCAGCCACTCCTGGGTACGTATGCTCCTTGTGTGTTTCGATAATTCATAGCAAATGCCATACGTTACATTTCTACAATAAAAGAATCTGTCGGTGCCACTTCATACCACTTTGTACCACTCCATGACACTTACAATCTTCCTAGTCGGGTTCTTCTCTCTGTGCTGCCACTGCCTCACGCCTCAGCCTCTCTCCCATCCTCCCATTCTCTCCATCCCCTCATCCTCCTCCGCACAGCTTGCTGCTCAACGGCACAGAGGTCCTCATCCGAATCGCCTTTGAGACGTCGTAGTACCCGTTACACATTAGTTACTCCTTCTTCACCAACCATCCCTTCCCTCTCTCCAACCCCCTACCCTCCTCCACACAGCATGGTGATCATGGTGATCAATGGCACAGAGATCCTCGTCCGGGAGGTGCGAGTTCTTCTTGAGGTTCCTCAATTCGTCCCTCCCTCCTCTCAATGCCCTCCTCTTTCCTTCCCTTGCTCAACTCTCCATCCCCTCATCCTCATCCACACAGCATGGTGTTCAACGGTACAGAGATCCTCATCCGGGAAGTGTGAGTGCCCTTCCTGTACCCTTTATAAAATGCACTCCTACCATAACACGCATACATCATGATTCACGCAGGGTGCTGTGCTCTCTCTACAGCCCCCCTTCAAATTTCTTGATCCTGCGCAGCACGCACGCTACCATGACCGCTTTGACCAGTTTGATCGACTTGACCGCATTACACACAGTCTCTTGACCCCACCACCACCAGTTCTTTTCATCTCTCTTAATTGCTCTCTCAAGCTTCTCATCTGCGCAATATGAAACATTGAACAATTTGACCAGTTTGACCAGTTTGACCAGTTTGACCAGTTTCACCAGTTCGACCACTTCCACCAGTTTGACCATTCTGACTGCCTTGACTGCAACTCAGTCCCTTTCTCCCTACAGCCATCTCCCTGTTCTCATCACCCACAGCCATTTCCCTCGCAAACACCTTTTGGGGCTCCTCAAATATCGATCACAGTTTCTATTCCCTCTGCAAACAACCCTTCACTCCCATTCCAGCTCGTCCCATTTCTCTCCCGAGCTCTCCATCTGCACCAGCCACGTTGACCTCTGTTGACCAGTTTGACCAACTCCCCTTCTCTCCTCACCTCCACCTCCCGTCCCTTCCCATTCCAGCTCATCTCGTTTCATCTCTCTCGAGCTCTCCATCTGCACGACGCGCCGCATTGACCGCTTTGACCAGTTTGACCAACTTGTCTTCCCTCCTACTTTCCATTCCCATTCAGGGTTTCGACCGGCTAAACTGGGCACACGTGCATTTGCTTTCTCCCACACCCTCCCACCTTCATTCCCTCTTCTTCCCATCCCCTCCCATTCCAGCTCGTCTCACTACTCTCGCGAGCTCTCCATCCGCACAACATGCCACGTTGACCGCGTTGACCCGTTTGACCACTTTGACTGCAACAGTCTCATTTTTCTCCCCACCCCCACCTCCCTTCTTCCCATCCCAGCTCGTCTAATTACTCTTTAGAGCTCTCCATCCACATCCGCACCATGCGCCACGTTGACCGTGTTGACCAGTTTGACTGCAACACACAGTCTCTCTCCTTCCCTCTACATCCCTCCCTTCCCATTCCAGGTCATCCCAGTTCTCCCTCGAGCTATCCATCCGCACTATGCGCCATGCTGACCGCGTTGACCAGTTTGACCGGGAGCTGAGGGCAGCGTGGGAGAACCTGTGCGGACTAATGGTGGATGGGGGAGGAGGAGGGAGGACAGTGGATGATGCCATTCTACGAATTGTGTACTTCTGGTGAGTGTGAGCACACACGTGATGGCTTTTAATAGGGGGTTGGGTGAGGCGTGGGATCAGCTCTGTGTGGACTCATGGCCGATGGGGGAGGGACGGATGGGGGAGGAGGAGGAAGGACAGTGGATGATGCCATTCTGCGAGTTGTGTATTTCTGGTGGGCGCACACACGTGTAATGACTGGGTATTGGATACGTGTCATGTGCCATTGCAACAAGGGCATGGAAGAAGGGCAGTGGATGATGCCAGTTGTGTACTTCTGGTGGGCGTGCGCGCGCGCACACTCACACACATGCACGCACGCACCCCCCCCCCCCCCCCCTACACACACACACACGCGCGCGCGCGCGCGCGCGCCCGCGCACACACGCACACACACACACACAATGACTGGGGATTTGGATATTGTCACGTGCCATTGTAACGGTGTGACTTTTGATTCGACGCAAAGCACTCTCGGGGGTTGTGTGCTTCTGATGATGCACGGGGGAATTGGATTGGATGCGCATGGGATGGGAGCACAACTGTGAAGGCTCATGTCGTAGATAGGAGGAGATGAGGAAACATGCAGAAACGGGGGAAATGGGAGGAGATGGGGAAAGACGCAGGGACGGGGGAAATGGGAGGAGATGGGGAAAGACGCAGGGACGGGGGAAATGGGAGGCATGACGGGGCAATTGGGATGAGACGTTAGCCTTCCTCATTCTCTGTCCCGCTCCCGCTTCTCCTTCCTACTTCCCTCTCTAGGCTTCTCCGTCTGGCTGGCTTACCTTTGTGTTCTAGCCGCTCGTATACACCAGCACTAGTGTCACAATACAATACACTAGTGTCACAATACAATACACTAGTGTCACAATACAATACACTAGTGTCACAATACAATACACTAGTGTCACAATACAATACACTAGTGTCACAATACAATACACTAGTGTCACAATACAATACACTAGTGTCACAATACAATACACTAGTGTCACAATACAATACACTAGTGTAGTATCTTCTCCTCTCTGTCACAATTCCATGTGTTTTGTACAATCGCAGCACCTTCCATGCAGGTAGCAGGCACTCCCGCTGACGCGAGGAACAGCCAGGTGAAGAAGTGCCCCGCTGTGTTTTGAGTCGACTCAAAACACACAGGTGAAGAAGTGCCACGCTCTCCTGCTGTGGTGTTTTTGAGAATTCTCAAAAAAAGTGCCACGCTCTCCTGCTGTGGTGCGCAACAAAGGCAGCAGCGCCTCATTATTGTCACAATTCTTTGCACTTTCTCTTAAATACAACTTCCTCTCGTGCAGGTACCAGGCGCTCCACATGTCACGAGGAACAGCCATGGTGGGAAATGTCACGCTCCTAGGCCTCTTGCCGTGGTGCTTGCAGCAGCATCTCAATGCACTCACAATTCTACTCACTGCACTTTCTGTTTTATCACAATCCATTCATTCAAGTACCAGGCACTCCCCCTGTCTCGAGGAACAGCCATGGTGGGATATGCCACCCTCCTAGGTATTTCCCTTCGGTGCTACACTAATGCAGACATTTCTCATTGCAATCACAATTCGCATAACCATCGCAATGCATTCCCCCAGGTACCAGGCGCTACCCCTGTCTCGAGGAACAGCCATGGTGGGATATGCCACGCTCCAAGGCCTCTTTCTGGCTGCTGGGAAGGAGATCACAGCGAGCATCCCCCCACGAATGCAGGTACGACCGTCAGCATATGTGCATACACAATTACAATTTGCAGTACAGACAGCCATGGTGGGATCTGCCACCCTCCTAGGTCTCTTCCTGGCTGGGAAGGAGATCACATCGAACATCCCCCCGCGAATGCAGGTACGATTGCTTGCATTCTATGCTCCACATTGATGATAGATGACTGCAGCCACAGGGCAGTGTACAACCCTTCCTTGCTTTTTCCAATTTTTGAGGAGCCTTAAGACGATTTTCCAGGCGACCTTTTAGGCGCCTAAAAAGATCGACATGACTGCAGCGACGGGGGATTGTACAATCCGTACCGGCCTCTTCCTGGTTGCTGGAGAAGAGGCGGCAGCAAGGGTGTTCCCAGTAGGTAGGTATGCACGATCGTTCATACCAAGATATCAAGATGTATGAAGAAAGTGCATACCTACCTACTGGTAGGTATGCAATGGTATAATTTCCTTGCAAGGATGGCTCTAGGGGTGTATCCCTCTTCTCCTTCTAAAGTCTTCAGGTTTTTTGCATGCAGGTGTGCTCTTACCCCGTAGGCTTACTTGAAAGCATGGTTAACACCCGATGTGTGTTGGTCAACCATATGTCTGCACGGATCAACACTCTTTACCCTTAACCTGATGCATCCTTCGTACCTGTCAGGTGGACTGGGAGGCGATGCTGACACCCACAGTGGATGACTTTATATCGAGAATGTCAGAGTGGATGTATCCGTCTATTGTCGATGCAAGGAAATTCCACAGCTTGCCAGGCATCCACCAGGCATTCCCCACTGTGGAGTCAGTGTTAAAGATGATGGCTGATGTTAGGATTGTTGGTCATGCTCCTGCCTTCAGCAAATGACTTTATATCGAGGATGTCGGAGCAGATGTATTTATCCGACACAAGTACAACTGCTGTTGCTAAAAACAATCGCCGAAGCAATGGGTAATGAAGTAGGAACCCTGAAATGGAGTGCATGCACTCCCTTCTTATCCTTCAATTCGTGTATGGTAGTTTTACAGAGGTCCTTCTACCGTATACTCCCGGACAAAACACCCCCCCATAATTGTACACCCCCGGGTAGCTTGTGCGGGGTGGGTGTTATGATAGACCTCGTTTCTACTATACCCCCCTTTTTGGCTGATTTTCTATAACACCCCCCTTTTCTTACATATTCATTATTATAGTCGTTAACGAGTAGCTGCAATACGGAAGAATATCGTGTGAATTTCTCCCTCAAGGAAATTTCGCGGTACATCCAAAGGCAATCTGCCGAGATTTGCCCCCTCCCACTATTTCTCTGTTGCCACGTGCAGGTGAATCTTCCGTTGCAAGTGGCAAGAGAGGTGCCACATGGCATTTTCGTGAGGGCGATGAAGTTCGAGGCCGAAACTCACATTCGCGCCTCAGGCAGTGATGCTAAAAGGACCAGCAAAACACCCACATTGACTAATTAAAAAAACACTAAAATATGCCATATGTAAAGACCCGGGTATTACCGGTATGCATTTTTTTCCTATGAGGAGACCCCCCCCATTTTTTCCCTGTATTTTTAGCTACCGTAATACCCCGGATAGAAGCGCACCTGCGCTTATAATAAAACATTGTTTTTTGGAGGGGTGCGCTTATAATTGAGTCAGATTTATAAGCGCATGCGCTTGTATAAAGGGAAAAATGAAAATCAATTTTGAACACACCATTGTGTAGCTCTCAATAAGGCGAATTCAACCGACCATGCACCAAGTGGGATCGTGCATGGTTTTCAGGCAGAAACCGCAGCGGTTC